ACACATGCAGTTTAGGGATCATCAAAGGATTGAGAGAAATTTATATAAAGAAGTAGAAGTCTATTTTGTATGGCTCCTTGCTTTCTGGAATTTCCTCCCTTAAAGCCCATCTACTCTGGCATCCCTGAACTCCACTTCCTGACACTTCAAGCAAATATGACTGTGGATTTGTCCTTGAATTCTAGTTGCTCTTTGTGGATTGAAAGTGCCCTCAGGGGAGAAGCTGTATAAATGTAGATCTCAACTAGTCCATTTCCTTTTCTCAAGGAACAAATTCCCAACATTATCTGCCTTCTTTTAGTCAACCTCTAATGTCTTCAAATAGTTTTTTTTTTTTTTTTTTTAATTTATTTGACAGACCAAGATCACAAGCAGGCAGAGAGGCAGGCAGAGAGAGGGGAAGGAAAGCAGGCTCCCCGCTGAGCAGAGAGCAAGATTCAGGGCTCGATCCCAGGACCTTGGGATCATGACCTGAGCCAAAAGTGGAGACTTTAACCCACTGAGCCACCCAGGAGCCCCTTCAAATAGTTTTTTATAAAAGAATATTTTGTTCAGAGTTTATAATAGTTATTATAGGAAAGTTAATTAATGTAAGCTCTTTTATTATTGACATAACTGAAACTCTCTCACAGAAATTTTAATTTATGGTTTTTTGTGTGTGTATATTAAGAATAAATTGTCTCTCATCTCTATGAATACTCATAGGATCATTAAATAATATATCCTGAGGGGATCCTCGGGTATTATCCAAGCAACTGTCCTACCAGGCAATGACTCTAAAATTTGTCATGCTTAATCTCCTGTTTTTATTTATTCATATATTAGTTTCAGGTGTACAACATAATGATTTAATATTCAGTTGACCCTTGAACAATGCAGTCAATACCCCAAGCCCCATATAGTTGAAAATCAGTGTATAACTTTTGACTCCCCCGAAACTTAACTACTAATAGTCTACTGTGACTGGAAGCCTTACTGACAACACACACAAGTCAATTATACATATTTTGTATGTTATATGTATTATATATTGGATTCATATAGTAAACTAGTAAAAGGTTATTAAAAATTATAAGGAAGAAAAATACATTTATAGTACTGTACTGTATTTTATGAAAAAAACCCCCACATATAATCAGATTCGTGCATTATAAATCTGTGTTGTTTAGGGGTCAACTGTATGTATACACTGTGAAATGATCATCACATTGTCCAGTTAACATCCACAACCATACACAGTTACACTTTTTTTTCTTGTTTTGAGAACTTTTAAGATCTATTCTTTTAGTATCTTTCAAATATATTATAGAGTACTGTCAACTATAGTCAGGATGTTGCTCCTTCCCTCCCCAGGACTTACTTATTTTACAATTGGAAGCTTGTACCTTTCGACTACCTTTTCCCATTTTGCCCATCCTTGCGCCCCCCCCATCCCTGTCTCTGAAAACCACCAATCTGTTTTGTTTTGTTTTTAGCATTTCACATATATGTGAGATCATATGGCAATTGTCTTTTTCTGTCTGACTTATTTCACTTAGCATAATGCCTTCAAGGTCTACCCCTGTTGTTGAAAATAGCAGGATTTCCTTCTTTTTAATGATTAAATAATATTTCAGTGGGTGTACGTGTATGTGTATGTGTGTGTTTGCATATGTGCATGCATCATATTTTCTTTATCAATTCATCCAGTAGTGGTCACTGACTTTATTTCCATGTCTTGACCATTTTCAATAATGCTAATGTCTTGCTTTTAAAAGAGGCCAGGGAAGAAAGATGCTTCTTCAGGAAATGAGTTCCCTGTCTGGAGACTCCCTATTATATACTATAATTTAAACCCATACAATGGCTTTAAATGACTCATAGGGTCACTGAATTATAGAGACAGATGGATGTATAAGCACTACTGAAACTGAGTTTGTCCCACTAAACCATGAATGTGAAAGAAGTATTTTTCCTCATGTTTTATGTGTATGCTATTTATACTTTTCTTTGCTCTGCTTCTTCACTCCTTCCCTCCCATGGAGTTCATCATTTTTTGTCTGTTTTACTTAGGTTCTTGCACACTGTTTCAGCTTCAAGCATCTATACACTCTCTGTTCTCCCAACTTGGCTTCTGAATCATTCTGGTTGCTCTGAACCTTAACATTATGAGTTGAATCATTTAACCCTCAAAATTCATATGTTGAAGCTCTGGCCTCTAGTACCTCAGAATGTAACTTTATTTGGACACAAGGTCTCCATTGGGGTAATAATGAAGCCATTAGGGTAGGCCCTACTCCAATATAATTGGCATTTTTATAAAAAGGGGAAATTTGGACACAGATACACACAGAAAGAAGATTATGTGAAGAAACACAGGGAGAATATGGCCATCTATTAAACAGAGAACAAGGCCTGAAACAACAGATCCTTTCTTCACAGAAGAAACTGACACTACTGACTGATCCTAGACTTCTAGCCTGCAGAACTGTGAGACAAGAAGTTTCTGTTGTTTTAGACACTGGTCTGTGGTACTTTGTTACGGTAGCCCTAATAAACTAATACACTTAGCTCTTAACAAATAATCTGATTAACTTTCCTATTTGATTCTGACTCAAGGCTTTGCTTTGTCTCTTAAGATCTACTCACCCCTCAGTTTGGTAAATGGGCAGAAGAGCAAAATATGTGATATATGTTCTAATTTTTTTCACTGAATTTGAATGACTTTTCTGATCCTTAGTTTCCTTGTATATAAAATAAGGATATTGTCCTTACCTACCTGTCTACCTAAATAAAGCGCAAATAAGATACTGCAAAGAGCATATAAAATACTACACAAATCTTGGGCATCCTGAGTCCTTTTTCTTTGTTCATAATATGCTCCTTCTCTTGTTTAATTACAAGAGAACCACTGTTAGAGGGCTCAAGTTCAGAATTCTCCACTTTATAAAAAAGGTTAATCTATTTGAGAGAGAGAGTGGGGTGGTGGTAGAGGAGAGGGGCAAAGAGAGAGGGAGAGAGAGTCCCGAGCAGGCTCTGTGCTGAGCATGGTGCATGACCCCAACATCCAGACCCAAGCCAAAACCAAGAGTCAGATGCTTAACTGACTGTGCCCCCCAAGCATCCCCAGAATTCTCCACTTTTTAAAGAGAAATCCTTTCAACCTAAGACTTTATTTCACTATTTCTAGTTCAAGAGGCAGGATGTGAGGCAGATGATGAATATGGGGTGATGTTTCAAGCTTTTAACATTATGACATCTCCAGAGGGTTTACAAGTAATTCCTCAAACAATGTATTTATTTTTATAAGAGACTAACATATGGAAACCAATTCCTTTAGAGAATAAGCTTTTTAGGAATGCTTAAGGGAAGAAGAACTAATGACATATCAAACTGCATTAACAAGATTGGGGTGTGTATTAAATGTGATTTTAAAATTTATAAAATTAAATGTGGAATGTTAGCAGTTTTTCAACATATTTTATATGTTCTGTCTGTTTTTAAAATGATTTTGTTAATGAGAATTTGAAAAATTATTGTTTCTATAATAATTAGCACTTTTATAACAATTATTTATAAAATACCACTTATTCCCAAATAGCTTACATTCTAGTTGCATTGATTCTTTTTTTTTTTTTTAAAGATTTTATTTATTTATTTGACAGAGATCACAAGTAGGCAGAGAGGCAGGCAGAGAGGCAGGCAGAGAGACAGAGAGGAGGAAGCAGGCTCCCCGCTGAGCAGAGAGCCCGATGTGGGGCTCGATCCCAGGACCCCGGGATCATGACTTGAGCTGAAGGCAGAAGGATTAACCCACTGAGCCACCCAGGTGCCCCTAGTTGCATTGATTCTTATCCAGTTTCAAGTGTTACTAAAAAGAACCAAATTTTTAAATGATTCTACCCTTTTCAGTTCTCTAGAATGCCTCCAGATGGCATTAAAACCCTTTTTCCGTTATATTTTGCAGCACAAAAATTTTAAAAATTAGTGCTATTTTAACCACTGAAGACTAGTCACATTCATTCTTTCATCAGAAATCATGACAATAGGACTTTTTAGACCTCTTAGGCAATATCTTAAGAAAGACAAACATATAACTACATCCTTTATGAAATACATATGGAAGCCAAAGGAACTTCCCAGACTGAGAAACAGATCTTGGACAAAATAAGACATTCGGTAATATCCTATCACAAAGTGTGATTTCTAATTAATAGCATTTTAGATGCTGAGTAATATGAGCCATGGCCTACATATAGGAAAATTCACAAAGCTGTCTTATACTAAGAAAACATACCTTACCCCTCAGAGTGATAAATAAAGATTCTTAAGGAACCAATCTGTTACTCATTCCTGTGAAGCCAATGTAATTTGTTAACTTGTGAATTATTTAATTTAAACTTTGGTGGAAAAATTTGGTAGCAAATGAATCACTGAAAACCCATTTGGATTCTTTGAGGACTGAGAGGAGAAAGATAAAATATGGAGTGAGGAACACATGCTTTCTAAGAGCTTTTTCTTAAGTTTTAAAAGCTGTATTTTTGAATTCAAAAAAATAACAAATTTTTGGGATTCCAGAGGTATTTCTAATTGTATTTTTCACATAATTCCAAGGTTGGAGATGGCAGGCTTTTAAAATGACATTGGTACTGCCCAGGTGTATAGGACAGAGTATCTCCCAGTATGTGTGAAAAGTCTTGTAATTATTTATGACAGTGCTGAAAGGCTCCAACGAAATTCTAAAGGGTTTGCCTCCTTTCTCCCTGACAATATACAGCCTGAAATATTATTACATTTCTGTTTTATAAGGAGAAGTATTTGCACTTTTAAGATTATTCTTATTGTGATAAAGCATAGGAAAGACCTCAAATTGTGTCCGCACCCAAAAGCACTTAAAAAGACATCATCATGAGAAAGAGAACCACAGGCTTCCTTCCATTATTATGATTACTCTTACAAGATACTAGCACTGTTTCATATTACAGGCATATTATCTGGATAGAAACAGGAAAGAAACTTACGATGTATTCGATGTGCCATTGTCTGGACTCTCTGGCTCAGCATCACCTTTCTCTTAAAAAGGAAGCAGGAAAAAAAAATACCAACATGTGAATGTTACGGTCTTTAAGATTTAAGAGAGATTAAATATATTTCCATGCTCCTATTAAAAATCTTTCAAAATGCGCAGCAGGAGGCTTTTAAAACATCTTTTTTTATTGTCTGAGAACCGGATTTGCAAGTAATTTCTTCTCCGTGTTCCAACTGCCCAGGCACGGATCTGTGAGTAGGTACTAAGGGGCTGTTTGCAAACAACCAGAGGTTCAGAGTGGAGACCTTGCCAAAAGATGAATATCTTACAGATGGAACCTGTTTCCTTCCACTTCATTTTACAGAAAATTTAAGGAAATAAACTCCATTAGCATTCTACAGGCAAGGCATTTTGAACTTTGATCCTTTCTGCTAACATAAGCCAAACCAGGGCAGACTGTGTAAGCCCTTGGAGGAGAGAATTTTACAGAACACCAAGGCTGCACTGCAGCTTCCAAGATCCCCAAAATTTCTACCCTACTGAGAGCCCTGGCAACACCTTTTGTGAACCCTGCTTTAATGCAGAGTAAGATGGAAACCAGAAATCCTTCCAGACCATCTGAAAGTCTAGCTACAGAAATGTTTCTGCGGTCTGTGGTCATTGAAGACTTAATAGGTTTTAATTAAGGAAGCCTGGAACCATTTCCCTTTTTATAGTTTTTAAAAGGGCAAATTCTAGCAATACACATAATGTAATTCTTAGAACTGTGATCATTGAGGGTTTGAGCCATGCATCCCCATTTTGTAATGTGTTTCCTCGAGACTGGAGGATGGAGGGATAAGGGCCAAGACTGCACGTGTGAGTCAGTTATGTTATGATGGTTGTGTGGTGCTGGAATTGAGTAAACCCTAGAGAAGGTTGTGGAATGTAAGAAATGGGCCTGATGGTGGCAACTTGCATTGCTTTGTTCTTTCACATCAGGCCTGAACATCCTGTAGAACCTCAGGCCTATGGCATGACATTAGCTTCGTGGTCACTGAGTCTCAGGAATGACCCCGTAAATTACACAATGAACACATCCCAAAGATAGCATCCAAACTGAATTCCAGAGGAAACTTTACACTATCTCCTCTTTTTCTTATAGTAAATTAAACAGTTGTGAAGAAGAGAAGGCACAGTTACATAGGTAGTTCACACATCTAGCTCATATATAACTTGGTGTTAATATGTATACACAGTGCCAGAAAAACCATGGGGGATAGTCACTCTGTTAAAAAGCCACAAAATTGATGTAAGTGCCTTGATCACAAACACTGATGAGACGAGGCCCCATCATTGACAAAACCATACTGAAATAAAAGTAGAGGCAGCAAATTCACAAACTTGCTTTAAAGCTCATACTTTTATACTATATTTTTGTTTTCCAGGCCAGTCCATGGTGCAATCATGTAGGAGACATGTAAGGCCTCATCAGCTGGCTTTAGTGCTGGAAAATAACCTCATTTAGTACTCTCCAGAATCATTTTCCCGCTAAGTAACCACAATTCCTGCCAGGATCCCCAAGTAAGAGCTGTAACACCTGCATTCTGTAAGACAAACCCAACTGGAGGCTTAATTTCTCAACCATATTGATGTTTTTTCCCCCTTGAATTTGGAACAACTGGTTACCTTCCCAAGTCTATAGCCGCCAGTAATAACCCCACATACAATCATAATCAAGAACGTAAAACGGCAGCTTCCGGAGCAGCAGGCAATGGTGAACAGTTCTAAACAACTTCTGTCATAGACACGGGAAATCAGTAATATAAGCAGAGACAGTTAATTGGATGTCTGAGGAAGGATGCTTTACCTTGACCAACAATGCTGACTAGTAGCCCGTAGGGTGAGAGAGCACAGGCCACATTGCGCATGGGATCTGGGGGCTGCAGGAACTGGGGGCTGGATCAGCACAGGGACGAAGCTGCAGCCGATTACCTCTGCTCTTAGCAGCACCGATGTTGTGGCAACAGGAAAACAGAATAAGAGGGACACAGTGGGGCCAAACGGGGCATTTACGGACGGCCAGAGAGTGAGTGTTCTCGGCAACTTCAGTGCTGATAATGAACTAACCTTTCAGGGGAAAAGTAAACTCAGAATGAAGACAGGGATTAAAGCTGTGTTTGTTGTTCAGAAAGAATAAAATGCATAACTGTCCCCATCATCTTGAAATTTTAGGTGATGCAATTTCTGAGGTGCATTTGAAATGTTCAAGTGCATCAGCCATTAAGAATTGCCCTCTCTTGGGGCGCCTGGGTGTCTCAGTGGGTTAAAGCCTCTGCCTTCGGCTCAGGTCATGATCCCAGGGTCCTGGGATCAAGCCCTGCATCGGGTTCTCTGCTCAGCAAGGAGCCTGCTTCCCTTCCTCTCTCTCGCTCTCTCTCTGCCTGCCTCTCTGCCTATTTGTGATCTCTGTCAAATAAAAAAAAATAAAATCTTAAAAAAAAAAAAAAAAGAATTGTACTCTCTTTATCAGGACCCAAGGGAAATGATCAATGTATAATAGAAACCGCCCCCCCCCCAAATTCTTAGTTGGGTGCTCAGGAGATGTTTCCCTGCAGCCAACAAAGAAGACTATTTGGGGTCACCCTGGTTATTTCAGCTGTTTTCATGACAGATACCACACTGGTCTCTTTGGGGGGAACCTGCATTGATCATTAAGAAACTGAACATAAAAAAATGGTTCAGGAGCAGTGTGGTCATCTTGCATGTGGAAATATAATTATAGAGAGGAAGAGAGCAAAAAAAAAAATGAGCCGTAGGATATATATATCTGTACACACACGTAAATGTATATATGTATACGATATGCGTACTTTCAGATTGATGCTCCCTATTTGTCCTCTTGAGCTTTCCACAGTACCTAACATATACTACATGCTCAGTATATGTCCTCTGTCTCCTGACCTGTCATAAATACAGTGGGAGAAGAGGAGAAGGGGCACTCACCCTGGAGATGAATATACAGTTTGAGGTATAAAACAGCTTGATGGCCCCAATAAGCCACTTAAAAAAATTACAGTAGCTACATTTTTAATCCAATCAATGCACTGAAGACTTATACACTGGGCACTCTGGTAACACGAAGATAAATAATACCTAATTCATTCCCTTTAAATACATAACATGACGGCATGGCTAGAGTATGCACTCTCCATCAACAGGGCTACGGGGTGGACTAAAGACTGTTGAAAAGGGACAAAATACACCTGCAGTAGCCTTTGTTCTTCTGCAGAGGAAAGTTTTGCTATACTATGACATTTCTTTTTTTTTTTTAATTTATTTTTATTTATTTATTTTTATTATTATGTTCAATTAGCCAGCATATAGTACATCATTGGTTTTGATGTAGTGTTCAACCACTCACTGGTTTAATGGGTTACTTTTTTTTTTTAATTTTATTTATTTTTTAAAAGATTTTTATTTTTTTTATTTATTTGACAAAGATCACAAGTAGGCAGAGAGGCAGGCAGAGAGATGGGGGAAGCAGGCTCCCTGCTGAGCAGAGAGCCCGATGCGGGGCTCGATCTCAGGACCCTGGGATCATGACCTGAGCCGAAGGCAGAGGCTTTAACCCACTGAGCCACCCAGGCGCCCCTGAATGGGTTATTTTCTAACAAAAGTAAACCACGTTCATGGTAATGACTTGGCTTGCTTTTGTTTTTAGTTCTGTAAGGCCTTCAACCACTATGGTAAACGATACACTTGTTTCTAGATATATCAACTTTAGACAGTGTGCATTGATTTCTGATATAAAAGGCAAGACATAAGGTACTTAAGATACTACCACCTGTGCTTACAATTCTTACTGGTTCTGTTATTACTTGTAATGTCTCTAGTGGGTATTAAGTTTAACCTTCTATTTCTGGATTAATCAACTGCTGACAGTATCTTTTCCTTTATACTATGTGAAATGAGGAAATTCACGCATTTATTCTTCCCTCCCTTCGCCACACACAACTTTGTACAGCTATACTTTTCCTTCTGCATAGCCAAGATTTAAAACATTTATATTCTGTTCAGTAATTATTAATGAGTCATCCTCATTAATATTAATTTAATTAATGATTTAATTTTTGTAATTGTAGGCACATTAGAAAAATTACAAACCAATAATCAGATTTATAATATTATAATGATTAAATATTAGTCACTAAAGAACAAAGTAGTAAGACTAGACGTGTATAGAAGGGAACATCACTAACTCTGAATGAAGGCAAGTGTTCGTGGCATTTAGGTCAAATGTATTTCCATTCTTATCTTCATCATGCCACATGTTAATCTGTCTCAGTGACAGGCTATGGTTTTCCTAAAAAAATGTTGAAATGCACATGGGTGGCTCATTTGGTTAAACATCTGCCTTCAGCTCAGGTCATGATCCTAGGGTCCTGGGATGGAGCCCTCCATCAGGCTCCCTGCTCCTCGGGGAGTCTGTTTTCCCCCTCTCTCTCTCTGCCCCTCCCCCCACTCATGCTCTCTCTCGAGCTCTCTCAAATAAATCTTTAAAAAAAATGTTAAATGGAGCATCCATTTAAGGTACATAAAATGTATATGTCTATGAAAGTTATAAATGCAGTTTTTAAAAGGTTAAAATGAGTTAACTGTGAAAACATCTTCCAGACCAGGAAATCAGTATTGTCAAGAAATAACCCCAAAACTTCCCAGGCTTACATCCACTTTCTGCCCTCCCCCCCAGCTATCTAGAAATAGAATTTTGTGTTAATAATTCCCTTTCTTTTTTTAAGGTTTTTTTTTTTTTTAACCACCCAAGTATTTATTAGTAGATAAAATATTTAGTTTTTCCTGATATAAATTTTACATAAATGGAATCACACTGTATGCATTCTTTTGAGACTTATTCTGTCACTCAATGTTATGGTTTTTAGATTCAGCTGTCACGATGTATTGTAGCCTTGGCTCACTCATTCTCATTGTTGTGCAATATCTCCTTATAAAAATCTACCATGATTTTCTTATTCATTTGACTCTTGATGGACATTCATTTTTTCATTATGAATGATGTCATTATAAACATTCATGAACTTCCTTCCTTGTGCATGTTAAGAGTTCTGGGACATGATGCTTACATATTCTTGACTTGACTAGGGAATCCTAAACTGGTTTCCACATTAATTTATGGTTACACTTTAAAAATTTTTTCCAACTTTAATAATATAAAATGTAATTTCACTATGGTGTTTGCATTTCTGACTGCCAGTCAGGTAAATATATTGTGCTTGCTCTTTTCAACACTCCCTGTCAATTCTTAAATTTTTTTTGTAGCATTTTGTTTTTTTAATTCATACAAACATTTTTTCTTGATACAAGTCTTCTGCCACATTATACAGGCACACACACACCCCAGGGAATAACTGTGCCCAGTATGAGTCTTTTTACTCTTTTTTTTCTGGAATATTTGAATGATTTTAAGTTCTCAATATTAATTTAGCTGAATTGATCAGCATTTTGTTTTAAGAAATACATCAAAAGATGTTCTAAGTTATCTTTTGAAAGTGTATATTTTTTCTATTAACATTTAGGTCTTTTAAAAATACAAGGAATAGGGGCTCCTGGGTGGCTCAGTTGGTTAGGTGTCCAACTCTTGATTTTGGCTCATGTCATGATCTCAGGGTCGTGAGATCAAGCCTTGTGTCAGGCTCCATGCTCAGTGGGGAGTCTGCTTGAGAGTCTCTCTCTCCCTATCCCTCTTCCCCTCCTCTCCATAAAAAATAAAATTAAATAAATATATACATAAATCTTAAAAATATGAGGAATGGTTTTTGTATATGCTATAGGGTAGGAGTTAATTTCATTTTTCTCCCTATGGATAACCAATTATTCTGGTACTATTTATTAAAAAGCCCATTCTTTCCCCATTGGTCTACATTATCATCTCTGTAGTAAATCTAGTTTTCATACATCTGTGGGTCTGTTTCTGGGTCTTCTATTCTATTTCATTGCTCAATTTGTCTATTACTATCTTCATTACTTAGCTAAAAATAGGTATTTATTTTTAATACTGGTATGGTAAGGCCCTAACCTTCTTGTTCTTCAGGAGTGTCTGAGCTACTCTTAGCCCTTGTTCTACCAAATAAATTTGAGAACCAGCTTGTCAACTTCCACATATATACAAGTGAAGTTATAAATTTGCTGTCTGCTGGATCCCACTGTCCCACTGATGCTGTTGAAAAGTGAACTGGAAATCTAATTGTTGCTTCTCTAAAGGTATTAAAGGTTATTTTAAGAATTCTTCCTTATCTTTGTAATTTACAGTTTAACTATATTGTGTCTAGTATGGACCTCTTTTTTATTTTATTTATCTCGCTTAGTACTCATTGAGTTCTTTCAGTCTGTGGGGTAGTATCTTTCAATTTTGGAAAATTCTCAGCCACTTTCTCCTTTAATATTTCCTCTGTTCCCTTATCTCCTTCTGGAACTCTAGTTAAATGTATGTTGGACCTTCTCATTTTATTCCCCATGTTTCTTAACCTCCATTTTGTATTTGCCATTTCTCTAGGCTGTACTCTAGATAATCGCTTAAGTCCAATTTCCAATTCATTATTTTTTTCTTCAGTGAAGTCCAATCATCTGTTGTTAAACCTGACCAAGGAAATCTTATTTCCTATTATTATTTTTTCATTTCTAGAGGTTCTGATAAGTACTTCTTCAAATCTTCTTATTCTTTACCACATTGTCAATCTTTTTTTTTTTTTTCTGGAAATTAAAGTAAGCACTCTTGTTTTATATTTTGGGCTTGGTAATTCCACTTGATCTTAGCCAAAATTCTGAGAAGTGATGGGTTTGGTAATTTCAATCTCCCAAATCCTTGCAGGTCTAATTCTCTGCTATCTGTTTTTCACTGCTCTTGTTTATGGTCTCTTGTTTTCTTGTATATGAGTGGTTTTCTCTTTAAGTATATTTAGTTAAGCAATCTCATACTCAATGTGGGGCTTGAATTCACGACCCTAAGATCAAGAGCTGTATGTTCCACTGATTGAGCCAGCCAGAAGCCCATATTTTTAAAAGTTTAGTATATGAGTGATTTTGATAGTGAGTTCCTTATTTCCCTTAGAATTCTATTTTTATTATTCTTTATTCTTAACTGTTTTTCACCCCTTTTCTGGTATTCTTATTTGCTGAATTTTGACCTTTCCATCCTGATTGATTTTCCAAGTATCTTACCTTCTTGTCATATTTTCCATCTGTCTTTTGCTTAATATCCAGAAAACAAATGTTTTTAACCTTATATTCTAGATTCCAGAGTTCAGCTATTACTCATCATTTCTATTAAATTTTAAAATTTTATTGACCATATTTTAAATTCTCAAGTGCTCATTTATTCTGCAACTACTTTTTTTTTATGCCAATCTGTTCTCTTTGTATTTAATACAAATAATTTCATTTTTTTCTGAAGATTGTAATGACACTTGGAATTTTTTCTTCTGTTCTTTGAATTAATAGATTGATTCCCTCAGGGCCATTCCTTTTCTTTGGTGCTCTGTTACATGTTCTCATTTTTGAATGATAATGGGTTGATTAATGAAGGTAATTGGTGTGAATTTCCTGTATTAGTATATTGATCTCTTTTCCTAACATACCTCTACCTTGTAGGGAAGGGCTGATTTAGAGCTCTCTGTATATAAGTCCACAGGGTACTGAGACTGGAAGCCTTCATTTAGGGTTCAGGAGAAGAGAGACCTCAGAGTAAGCTGGGAGCCCTGACCCTTCCTCTGCACCCCAACAAAAATAGGAAGTACTTTTTATAGATGTGCTTGACTTTGGCAGGGGGGAATTTATTTGAAAACAAATATCCCCCATCCCTTGAAAAGAGGAAAACAAAATATCCCCCATCCCTAGAAAAGAGGAGGCCAATCACAAACTTCCATAGACAATGAAATGCCAGAGAGTATACCACACAAGGCAGGTGGCCCCATCATTCCATAGAAGATGGATTCAGTTTACATAATCTACATTGAAGTATAAGCACATGGATTTATGACATGCCATAAAAATCCACTGATACATACACAAAACACAGTATATAGTTCTTGGTCAAGAATTCAAACTCACAGTGAAATGACAGAAGCAAACTTCTGGGGTCAAGTAATGGGATACAGTCTGTTGTTTTTGGTGTAGAGATTCCAAAATGCAAATCCTGGCAGTCATTTTTTGTTTTACCATGTGACCTTAGATTAGTTATTAAGCTCAAAATCTCATTTTCATTACATGCAAAATGGGGATGGTAATGCCTACCTTATGTGCCTATGGTTAGGATTCAGTGAAATTACATGTCAAGGCACTGGGACACAGAACAGACTCAACAGCTATTTCCTTTGTTCTTTATGTCAAAACTTCTAAGCTCAAGCAAGTACAATGAATGTACATCTTCTCTCTTTACCCTGAATTGTTTAACTTCAAATGGAAAGTAGTGAGAAAAGTAATGGCAACTCTTCAGTATGCTCTAGTTTCTAGTGTGTTCTTTAGTTATAATTATAAGGCATGTGATGCTGATACTGCACATCTCATGGACTTAATCAGGCATTTCTTTTAAGTCCTTTTCTTACCATTGAATTTATCATTTTCCTTAGATTTCAAGTCTGTTGGCCTTTTACCTCTTTACCAGTGCCTGTGCTCAGCAAATCCCAAAGAGGGTGGGATAATTAAGTGACATTGCCTATGCGTCATGACGCCTCCATCCCCCAACCTTAATCTTTCTCTAGCTGTGCATTAAACGTCTGGGGCTTTCTAACACATTTGTCTGGTAGTCTTTTCTCCTCAAGCCTTCTGCCTCACAGATGCTCAGTGGGTGAGTCTCAGTTCCAAAGATACGTTTACTAGCTCAGAGTGATTTTCATGTTCAAACATAGCTTTGTAATTGGCAAGGGGTGCTCTCAACTGAGTGGCTGGTCATGAGACTAAGAATGCCCAGTCTTGGTGAGTGAGTGCTTTCATGACATGAATGGGGTAGCATATGCAATTTTAGTGTTCAAGAAGATATTAACACCAATTACTAGTGCCAAAGAAGAGAATTAAAACAGTACTTCGTGGAATGATAACATCCTCTCTTTGATGATGAAGCCCATGTGTTTTATTAGATAGGGGTTTCAGTAAGAAAATTGCTTCCTACAAGCACCCTGTCTATCTCTGGAAGAGGGAAAGATTTCTTCATGGATTCTAAGGTCATTTATCTTGAGGTCTTCTGATTGGTTCTCCTGGCCCACCCATTTTCTTTTAATTTAGATAACTCACTAGTTGCCTTTAAAGATTTTTTTCCCCTCCGCATATACCAGAGACTGTAATAAAGCAAAACGTTTTTTTCCTCCCGGGATTGCTTTGAAATTTACCATTTTATATTTTGGTCCTCCTTTCCTTTGAATAAAGCTAGAGGAACACTCCAGAGTCTTATCCATTTGGGCAGTACTTGAACAAATGGCCCTCTTTTTCCCCACTTGATTTTGTTTCTTAGTGAAGTTCTTCTCAACCTACAGTCTATTGCATGCATTTTCCCTTCTCACCCCCTCTATCTTCCACCATCCACAAACGAAGCTGTAGAGATAAGTCTTACTTGGATTATTGTGTCCGGAGGAAACAAGCTGAGAGTCCTAAAAGAACAAGAAATAACAATTAATTTTCTTATTTTGACTTTAAAAATCTAAGTTGAATATTAGACATACTACCAGTCATTCAGACCCTATTCACTAATCGTGATCTGTACCAGGCACTGTAATGAGAAACATTTATATCAATGTGCTTACTAAGCAGTTCTGGAAATGTAGTTCACAGTCTCTTTGCTTTTGTATTGCAGACTTTTTGTTTATTGAGGTGAAGTTCACATAACATAAAATTAACCACTTTAAGATGAGCAATTTAGGGATGCCTGCGTGGCTCAGCCAGTTAAGTGTCCAAGGTTTTGGCTCAGGTCATGATCTCAGGATAGTGAGATAGAGCCCCATGTCAGGCTCCATGCTCAGTGTGGAGTCTGCTTGGGATTCTCCCTCCCTCTCCACACCTGTGTGCTCTCTCTCTGCCCCTCACCACCCCTGTGCACTCTCTCTCTAAAATAAACATAAATAAATCTTAAAAAAATATTTAAAGTGAACAACTCAGTTGCACTTAGTACATTCCTAATGTTGTATAACCACTACCTCTATTTGGTTGCAAAGATTTCCATCATTCCAAAATAAAACTTAACCTTTAGGCAGTGTCTCCTCATTCCCCCACTTCCCTTAATCCCTGACAATCACCAATCTGTATCCTATCTCTATGAATTTATCTGTTTTGGATATTTCAGGGAATCATAGAACATGTGACCTTTTGTGTCTGGCTACTTTCACTCAGCATAATGTTTTGAGGGTCATCCATGTCATAGCACGTATCAGTACTTTGTTCATTTTTATGGCCAAATAATAGTCCATTGTGTATATATACATCAATTTGTTTAGCCATTCATCCATTAATGGATATATCAGCTGTTTCACCTTTTGGCCATTGTGACTAGGGCAGTTATGAACACACACGTGTATGTATTTGTTTTAGTCCTGTTTTCAGACTTTTTGGATATATACCCATGAATGGAATTATGGAGTCATATGGTAATTCTATATGAAAGCTTCTGAGGAATTGCCAAACTGTTCTGCACAGTGACCGAATCATTTTACATTTTTACCAGCCATATATGAAGTTTCCATTTCTCCAAATCCTCACTAATACTTGTTATATTCCCTTAACTTGGAGAAATTTTATGATAGCTGTCTTAGCATATGCAGTTACTCACAGTGGTTTTGATTCATATTTCCCTAATGACAAATGATGATGAGCATGTTTTCATGTTTTTGTTGGGCACTTGTACATCCTCTTTGGAGAAATATCTATTTAAGGACTTGGCCCATTTTAAAGTGGGTTGTTGGTCTTTTTTGTTGCTGAGCTGAAAGAGTTCTTCACATATTCTGGATCATAGACCCTTATCAGACATATGATTTGCAAACATTTCCTCCCATTCTGTCAGCTATCTTTTCACTTTATTGATAATAACCTTTGATGCACAAAAGTTTCTAATTTTAATGAAGTCCACTTTCTTTTTCTTTTTATGGGTCATGCTTTTGGTATTATATCTGAGAATCTACTGCCAAATCCAAAGTCATACATGTCTTTCTATGTTTTCTCCATGAGGCTTATGGTTTTAGTTCACATATTTAGGATTTATTATATTAGTGACTTTTTTTTTTAAGATTTTATTTATTTATTTGACAGAGATCACAAGTAGGCAGAGAAGCAGAGAGAGAGAGGAGGAAGCAGGATCCCTGCTGAGCAGAGAGTCCGATGCGGGGCTCGATCCCAGGACCCTGGAATCATGACCTGAGCCGAAGGCAGAGGCTTTAACCCACTGAGCCACCCAGGCGCCCCATATTAGTGACTTTTAATCTAACCCAGTTCCCTTTGGATGTACATTTACTCTCCTCACCTTTCTACAGATGAGGCTGGCACTATCCCACCAGGGACAATCCACTGAACAACTGTTGTCAGTCTCACATTGGTGGATGAAAAGATTATTACAGATTTCCACTTACCTGCAATGGTGGAAAGCCAGAACTACATAGCATTTTGAGTTTAGTTACTGTTTAGGTAAATAGCAATTGAACTGATTTTACTTGCACTCAAGTGAAATGCTAACTTTTGCTTTGAGAATTCACATCCTTTTTACTTGCTAAATTCCCATTTAGCGTGAAATATAAAGGACAGTTACAAAAGGATGAATTAATCGAGATGGTAGGAATGTAAAAGAATAAGGGACAGCACATAAATTCCTCTTGAAGGAGTCCTGCCCTGCGAGGTAGCTGCAAAACCCTGGGGCTGCCACAGAATGTACAGACCCTTCATCTTTTACTGAGCCAGGACCAGGCTGGGTTCAGAGCAGAAGGAAACAAAGCCCTTCCCTCCCAAAGGGAGGGAAGCACTTACTTAAGTCCTTCCCATTTTGTATTTCCTGCCACTCAGGAACCCATTCGCCTATAGTGTCTGTCTCAGAGGATTTCTCTCTGTCTCTTCCCTTCTTTCTCTCAAAGACCCTTGCTTTCTGTAAGTAGATGCTTGGGGAGTTGTTAACCCCGTCCGCACATTCTTATTTTGGCCCCCTCTGGGAGCACTCTACAAGGACTGCAAGGTTCTGTCAGGCACCTTAAGGGTTGCAGAGCGAGTGTACAAAATCTCTGCCTACAGGGCCCCGGGATCGGGTGAGTTAGCAGTGAAGATGAGGTGTATACAAAATATTATAACCCAGGGCTGAAAGGGATGTGACACGGCTCTGCAAGGGTACTTTAAACCTTTGTATCCTTTCCTTGTCCTTGGGATGCATGTCCTGCCATTTTCTGTTTTCTGCTTGGCAAACTTCATTCTTTCTTCAAGGCTCAGAACAAAAACCCTCAAGGGTTACCTGCTTTTTGAAACCTTCCTGAATCTCAGAAGGACACAAGTGCTTTATGTTTTCACTGCACTGTATCACACTGCCACTACAGAAATTATCTTTTCAACTATGACTCTTCAACAAAAAAAGATAAACCCAGCTTTACTAAGGTACATATTACATGATATAAATAGCACATATTTAAAGCATACAACTGGATAAATATCATAAAAAGAATGTTACTATGATTATTGTCTTGATCCAAGGGGGGCTCTGTCTTGTTAAGGAGCATTTACTGTTTGAAGAAACAAACAGCAGTAATATCTATTCATTAAAGAAAATTCAGAAAAGCAGTAAGGTATTAAAAAAAAAAAAGTTGCCTGTCATCCCGTAACAGGACACTGCTAAGGTTAATCGACTGCTTCTGGTTTGCCAGTGTCATTCATCAAGTGTGTGTCATTTTGATATGTGCACAAAAGGGATAGCCACTTCCGCTTACTTGCAAGAATATGTACAGATGGGAATTCATTCTTCTCCACCTTCAAGTCCTGAATTCCCAACACCTATTGTTTAGTACATGGGGATCCTAAACCTTCTTTAAATGTTGTGTTTAGCTGGGAAGTAAAGTTTGTACATATCATTTGGCTAAAGATAGAGATAACCAAGTGCCCTGGTGTCTGCGAAAGCCCTTCAATGAAGCACTATAATAAAGACTGTATTTTGTCATGTGTAACCTGCCATCAAAACTGAGGCTACCTTCCCTCCTATACTGCTATGAAAGAACACTACTGCCAATTAATTTTAAGATGCCATCAACTATGAAACAAATCCTGATTTTAGGGAACTTAAGATGTAAAAAAAAAAAAAATCTACTTTAGATCAGTTAAATACAGCAGTTCTTAAGCCATGTAGCTTAAGGACGATCCTCATACTGTGAAGGTTTATTACTTAAAAATGGCTCTTTGGAACCATCTGAGGACATCTCCACTCAGTTCTCTCCTTGCTTGTCTCTCAATCCAGCATTAGAATTATAAAAGGCAAGAAATGGAAATATATTTCTCTTATTTTCAGACCCATGCCTGAAGCTAGTTACTATAGAAAAAGGAGCCTCCTGACTGGGGGGGGAGGCGTCTCCCTTCACCCCCATCCATCACTTTCTCCTCATTCTTTTCAATAAAGCTCAAAAGAGTTGAAATAAGGTAATTTATAATTAATTTGAATGTCTTTCAAGGTAAGGCTAAAACATGGAGTTTTAGCTCAAATACTTTGTGCTACAACTTAAAGCATGTTAGGAACACCTAGAGGGAGACAGAAAAGGAACTTTCCGTTTTTAAAGCACTTTCCTTCACACTTTGCTGCCTTTCTTCTCCTTCTAGTGTACAAAGAGGCAATAGGGTTATCCCTTCTAAAATGATGCTAGAATTCTTATATAATGCTTGAAACACTGATCAGTAAGAAGAGTTCCAGACCAGGTTTGTTCCCACCAGAGCCGGCATCCATTGCCACACGAAATATTTGGGAAATGTCATTAGGTTTGCACATATGCCTTCTGAGGATGGAAAAAGTTCTACAACTTTGAGTCCTTTATTTGCATTTCAAAACTTATGAGACTCTTATAAAAATTAAGAGAAGGCAAATCAAATTCAATTTTTTTTTCTTGGTTGAAATACCTGATAATGGCACACAGTCTTTTTTTTTTTTTTTTTTTAACCAAATTCAATTACTTTTGAGATTTAAAGAATGAGGTGGACATATCTGGTAGTTTTTGCCTAAGGAATTGTGACTACAAATTAAGATTTCAGAGAACAGAACAAAAATATCCAAATACAGTATCAATGAATTTTACTATACATTATGTCTTTTAACACTGAGACAAATTGGGAGAATTTTCATAAGCATTTAGCTAATTAATTTCATGGTACTGGTAACTCAGAACACCCAGTTAAAAGGACTTCCCTTGTGAGGTCAAATTGCCCTTTCAATCTTAATGAGGGCCTAGTTTTGTTATTTATTAGTCATTTTGGAGATTTTGCCCCTCAAATTCCATAAATAATTCTAACTCCTATACACTAGGAATACTGATAATCTCAAACATTAATAACCTAATGAATGAACTGCAAGCCCCCAATTGTCAAACACTGATTAGTTGAGATACAGGTTAAAAGAGATATACTGTGTGTGAAAATTAGCAACAATCTTTGC